TAAAGATAATTTTCAGTTTAGACCAGTATGCTCAGTTGTACATCAGAGAAATTGTAAGATTGCACGGTGTACCAGTTTCTATAGTGTCAGACAGGGATACCAGATTTACATCCAAGTTCTGGAAAAGCCTGCATCTAGCTATGGGAACTAGATTGAAATTCAGTACAGCATATCATCCACAGACAGATGGACAGTCAGAGAGAACTATACAGACTTTAGAAGATATGTTGAGAGATTGCGTTTTAGACCTTGGTGGTAACTGGGAAATGCATTTACCATTGGTTGAGTTTGCATATAATAATAGTTTCCAGTCTACCATTAGCATGACACCATATGAAACTCTTTATGACGAAAGTGTTGATCACCAATTCATTGGGATCAAGTTGGTGAGAAGAGAGTTTTGGGTCCAGAAATAGTGGAACAGACTGTAAATGCTGTGGAGAAGATTAGAGAAAGGATTAAAACAGTACAAGACAGACAGAAGTCTTATGCTGAGAAGAGACGAAAGGAACTATAATTTGAAATTGGTGAAAAAGTGTTCCTTAAAGTGACTCTTATGAAAGGTGTGGTAAGGTTTGGAAGGAAAGGGAAACTTAGACCAATGTTTATTGGACCTTATGAAATCTTGGAAAGAGTTGGAAACGTGGCCTATATGTTGGCTTTACTGCCAGAATTATCAGCAGTACATAATGTTTTCCACATCTCAATGTTAAGGAAATATGTCCATGATCCGAACCACATTGTTAGTTATGAATCATTGGATGTTATGACATATGAGGAAACTCCTAAGTTATACTTGAGAGGAAAGTTCATACCTTGAGGAATAAAGATTTTCCTTTAGTTAAAGTCCAATGGAGCAGACATGGTAGAGAAGAGGCAACTTGGGAAAGAGAAGATGAGATTCTAGCCAAATACCTAGACATTTTCAAATCAAGTAAGTTTAATTTCGAGGACGAAATTTATTTAAGTGGGAGAGGTTGTAGCGACCCGAATTTTAAAATGCAAATTTTATAACTTAAGGCCCCGTTTGGTATGGATTCTTCAATTCTACAATAAATCAATTCTCATTTTCAACCACACATTCTTCAATAAAATAATATTTTCTATCACATCAATAATCTTATCTTCTTTTTCAACCACACATTTTCCATCATATCACTATTCAAAATCAATTCTTTCCCCAAAAAATTCCTACCAAACAAGCTCTAAGTTGTGTGCAGGTAACTTTTCGAAATTTATTTTTAGTTTTCCTTGGAATTCCATAATCTCTGTGTCTTCACAGTATATTCATTAAAAAAAGGGGAGGGGGGAAGAAAAAACGGAATCTCTATGTACTCCGATCCTTGCTCTCTGTATCTTGCTTCTTGTGACTGTAATTTCTGGGCAGAGAAGAACGCTCGAAAAACTCGAAATTACCTGCAACTTTCCTTCCCAAACGGAACACAACCCAACCTCTATTTTCCCTCTCTCGGCTGGAACAACGTCACACGAACTTCCATTGACATTAGACTTCATTTCCCCGGCCTCAATTTTGATTGGAAACCACCAAAATGTAAAAACCAAATTTGGAATTTCTCTTGATTTCGAAACGGACAGCCCTCTCTGCGTGAAAATGGGATTTGAGGATTGGGGGTTGGTTTTAAATATTGAAAATTCATTTTTAAATCCTAAAGTTTGGCCAAAAGTTTAAGTTAGTCCTCTATTTGATTTTTACTCTTTCCTCATCCCTAAAGTTTGATTATTTTTCAAATTAAGTATAAATTACTTTCTAATGTTATCATATTGGCCCTAAATATTCTAATTTTGATAATTAGATTCTAAAGATTTAAAGAATTATAAAATTACTCATTTCTTTACTTTCAAAAGTTCAATCAAGTCCTTAAAAGCTTTAAAGTTTTAATTAGCACTTAGCATCCTAAATTATATTAATTTTGTTCTTGCTAGACGAGGTCGCGGGAAAAGTTTAAAGCACGGTAACATCACATTCGTTTAATTTCAAGAAAATTTTCAAGACTTTGAGGTGGGGTTTACATTTAAGCAATTATGGTTATTATGTCCATGTTAATTCTTGATGTTTGATTTTGATTGTGATAAAATGTTTATACATATGAAAAGGTTGCCAGAGACCGAAAATAGGCACGGGATCGAAAGTAGGTCCTTGAGGTTGTCCCATAGTACATAATTTATTAAGTGCTTATAACATGTTGTCAGGGACCGTAATTAGGTTCGGGATTGTAATATGGTCGATTGTAATAAGGTCCTTAGGGATGTCCCACAAAACATATTTCTACAATATGTTGTATTGGTATTGTATTCATAATTTGATTTCATATTTAGATTTAACTTGGATTGATTCCTGTTTCTCCACTGAGTATAATTCGTTATGCTCACCCCAATATTTTTCCACCTTTTCAAGTTAAGGAGTTCGGCAAGGCAAGACAATGAGTGGGGCAATCTTGATTAAATAATAAATCATTTAATTTATAAATTTTTGAAACAAGTATTTTAATAGTTGGATTCCATTTTGTCAATTAAATCTCAAGTGTTAGTATTTTTGCGAATTTTGGCACTTTGCTTATTATATTTGGTATTGACACTTGGATGTGAGCAAATTTTTCAAAGGACGTTTCCTCATTTAGTTCTAATTTGCTATAGTTAAAAATAAAAAATTTACGCATTTTTGTGTTTATTGAGAATACTTATGTACAAGATATTTCGACTTTAGTAGCGCCTTGAGTTAATAGAATTTGGGGCATTACACAATAGGATAAATAACAATTTATAACAATTATTATAAAGTTCGATAGAGAATAAATATATACAGTTATGCATTGCATAATTTTTATAGATCTTCTAATGTTTTTAATACATCTTTTCATGATCGCATCTTTTATGAAAACATATAAATGTTACATGAAATGATAGATTTAATTGATATCGAGATATACTTTTAATCAACTTAGGAACCTTGATCCATAAGAATGTGCACATATTGCCATATTATTGATTTACATTGAAACAAATTAATAAGGGGGTTCAAGGTCTTCGTAATATCAAATCGAAATTTACAAAAGTTTCATAATTGCTCAATAGAATAATTAATTTAATTAGTTAATTTAGCATATTTTTTTCACAAACTTTGCTATTCGATTAAAGTTAAAATTAATTGACCATAGATTAAGTACATAATTTTCATGGGAACGATACTTTATTAATCATTTTATTACTTGTTTGTGATACCGTTCACTTGCAGGAAATTAAACGATTAGTATATTTATTATGACTTTCGAAAAGTTCAAAAGAACTTTTGAGATTCAAAAGCTATTTTTAAATTCGTTTGATTAATTTTATAAAATCGATTCTTCTAATTTAAAAGAACTTTGAAAAATAAGTTGGCCAAATGTAACTTACTTTAAAAGCTCTTTCGAATGAGGAAATTATTTTAGAATTTAATTTTCATACATCAATTAAGATAAATTATTCTACAAAAAGTGGTAAAAATAAAAGCTCTGCCAAATAAGCTCTCATCTTGATAAATTGTAGCATACAAATTCAAAAACGTTCATAGTTTTGCAAACTTTGAAGCATGTTGCATCTTGGTCCCCTTTCTTCATAACAGAGTATTTACATCATCAACCTTTTATTGTAGTAACACTTAGGTCCTTAAGCCATCTGCAATACATGCACCTTGAAAACTCGAGATAAGCTTTGCACCATTTTGGTGCAAGATTAGCACAAAACTAAAAGTCATCTCCAACAAAAAAAAAATCAAAAGTTGCACAGGATCAGTGTTTCATCATATTCTTCATTTTTTTTAATTCTTAACAAGTATTTATCTCAAATAGTATTTATTTATTTATTCTATTACTATATAAATTACTAAATAAATAATTATATTTAGTTAATGATAATATTGAATTCATTAATAAATTTAAAAAATAAAAAATATTACATTCAACATCATAATATCAAAAAAGGGTGTAATACGTTTCGAATCTCGATATCATGATATTTGTTATCTTTTTAAATTTATTGAGGACTTTTATTTTAATTCATTCCTTAATTATTATTGATTACATAATTAAAATTTATTATAAATGCACATAACAACAACAATAGTACAATTAACTAAGAATTAAAATTTGTTGTATAACAAAAAAGGGGACACAAAGGGAAGAAAAGTTTGTTCAATACCGAAAGAGAAGGGTAAAATGGTGCAAAGTATGGTGCAAGGTTGGAGAGGGTTTGAACCCCCCCACCCCGCCCTTTTTTATTTGGGTGCAAAGTGGTGATTTGATTCATGCATTTGAGATGCCTTTAGGGGACAATTTTACTCTTACGTTTAAACTATGTTTGGTGCCCATTGTTTTAAAACTTTTTGCTACACAATTATTTGCAACTGCACATTCACACTACAAAATATTTTGCACGTAAACTTAATTTTTATTTTTAAACCACATATTCCCCTAAAAATACTATTTTAAACTTTTTTTTTTTTGAAATAATGGGAACCAAACAAGAGCTTAACAAGCCAAATTTTATTACAAAGACGGTTTTACCCTTATTGTCAAATTGATTGGTGATAGATTTAGTTGTTTTGACAAGAGGTGAGATGGGGTGGGATCGAGAGGAAGAATCTTTATTTATTTATTTATTTACTTTATTTTTTTCTTTTTCTTTTTCTTTTTCATTCTCATTTTATATTTAATTTTTATGTTTGTTATCTTAATGCATTGTTTGTTTTTGTGGTGCTTCTTATTTGTTACCCTATATTACTTATAAAATCATAATCCAATTACGTCTTCGACCTTTAATCCTTCGTTTGCAAGAGTGAAGAAAATCCATCGGAAGAGGGCGTTTCAGTAATGGGTTGAGAAGTAAACAAGTGCAATTTATTGCAACCTTAAAAGAGACAAAGGATCAAGAAAATAAAATCAAAATGCTGATTGGAAAGAAAGAAAATGGATTACAACCTTATCCCAATATCATCAACTTGCATATTAATCAAACCCCAGGATCATGTCATTGCCAAAGCTCCTGATCATATTTGGTACCATCTCAGTCTTCTTCATCTCCACTTCCATGGTCTCCTCCATTATCTCGTCCGGTGGTGTAATGGAGGCCGATGGCAAGATAACCGACTCTCTCTGGGCGTCGAGTATCTCGTTCAATCTCTCCTCACTCACTCCAAAAGCATTAGCAAATTCAGGCCCTCTCATTGTCCGCAACAATGAATTCGCCCCCACTAAGAACTGAGGCCGGTTTCGGCGTGCGGATGTGGTGAAACCGAAAAACTCAGAAGGGCCAGATCTTGATGCGATCTGGCAGAATGGAAAGTATCTTGGAATCCAAAACACATTGCCTTCGGTTACTTTAAGCATTCATGGCTAGACTTCCGTTAGGGTACGCAATTTGAATTGTACCGGCTCCTCTTAATACAATACCATACTCGGTTGCCCTTGGATTGATATGTGGTGCCATCATCGAGCCCTGCATTTGATCAAAAGAATAGTTTCAGGCAATCAAAATGAATCTTGCAGGGTACACTTGGTGAACAAGACTGGACAATATAAGGTACAAAATTTTAATTTTCTTTCCTTAATATAGTATAATACTATCCAATCTTGCTTATTAAATATGCACAACGTGATCGAGATCAGCACATATCAAACGACCAAAAGCCTCGACCAAAGCCTACCGCAGAGAGATTAACAAGATAAATGCTAGCGTCCGACTGGCCAAGGGGTGAGTAATCGGACTCGTCCAAAGCAATGCTGTATCCATAATTGTTCTTAAAATCAGGCTTTATATCATAGATATTATAAGAACCGGGCCCTTCACTTTTTTTGTCCTCTCTTTTCTTCGTTGCCTTTCCAAATACAGAGATCAAAAGCTTCCTAAATGACCATTTTGGTTCTTCAATGAATTTTTCCTTCAAATGAACAACTCTCTTCAAGTGAGCCAGTTTCTGATGATGCTCGAGTTCCAAAAACCCGGCCCACATGCTCGGGGTTTGAGAATCGGATAGAGAAATGATTGGACCAGCCTGTTGCCTCGTCAACAGTTTCTTTAATTCGGCTATAGAAACCTGTTAAAGTGACATCATTAGGCGTCACAATCTTGATAAAAGTAAAATAGAATTCGATCTTCTCACTTACGTTGAATGCTGTTGACAATGTTAAGTGATCAAAGCCTGAAAGTATCGATATTGGATATGTTCCTCCACCAATGAAGAAAGACTGCGCCATGGAAATGAGCACAATCAGAAAAATTATGAGAAATGACAATGTGTTGGTTAAACCTCTGTAGACAGGCCAATTCAGTTCAATATCTCGAGGGAATCAGATAAACGTTTTATGGATCAAACAAGCAAAGCAAACAAACATAATTATAGCAAAATCTTCGTCCACTTGACATTGCAAGTTCTCCCTATAATTGAGAAGAAGTTTACAATGAATCTCACACTACTCAGTTTGTGCATAAAATTAAAAACATCCCCCTCAAATTGCTTCACGTCGAGAGGATGAACAAACAGTATACCATACAATTTCACAAAATCGTCATAAATTTTATGAAACAAATGAAAAGAATGCTTGGAATGTACCTGGAATGTGTGCCATCCCAAGCTCTCAGATGTGTCAATACTGCATATTATATGTTGTTAGGTTTTTTGATCCCCAATAAATTCGGGCGATGATGAAAAACAATTGTCGGATTATTTATCGTCACCATAGACTTGGCTCGACTCGGGCACGACCTATATTTCTCGGATGACCTTAGTTGGATGTGGATTAATGTTGGTACATTGTTGTGGNTCCCCTGCATTCAGTTTGATCCGATTCATATCTTTATCAATCAATCATCCTATAATTCTGCTAGATCTCTTTAATTGCCACTTTGCTTGGGGTTGTTACCTAAATAATGTGTTTCTCGGGTGCCAAGCAAGTTAAGTAAGGACTTTCTCGGGGTCAATCCATCATTTGAGACAAAATTTTTCTTTTTTACAAAAGAAGGGCATAAAAAGTATTTATAGTGACGTTTGCCTGATTTTCATGAATGAACAATTGAGAAAACAGCACATAGCATATCTTAATCTGTGCAGAATTAAACCAATTAAGAATCAACAGGCAAACGCGTGCACGTGTTTGGTAGTCCATACTGGAGACACAGTAGTACACGTTTCTCCACCACAATCTTATCCAATACTATTTAATATGTCTCAATTGTATCTAGTGTCAAATGGCCATTTCACTGTTTGTGCATGTCATCGTTGTTCAGGGCCATGCTGATCTTCTCTGTATTGTTCCAATTATATTTAGCCCTTATTTTGTGGGGATTAATATAATTTTTTAGTAAATTTTGATAAAAGTTGATGAATCGTACCGTTGTAGATTCCATGAAATATATGATTACGATTAATTGCTGATTTTGATTTGATTAAAATCTATATTTTAATCCATACGAAATAAGAGCTTAGTATTGTCTAATCTATGTTGTACTATCTATTCTATATAAGAGTAGTGCTATGGGCCGAGGCACCCCTCCAATGGGGAGGCGCCACTTGACCCTTATGTGAAGCATTATGGGAAATGTTATGTACAAATAGCATTTCCCTCTATATAAATTCCAATCTGGTACTATCTACGCTAGATCAATCATATCCAGTATATTCTAATCCAATACATGAAACATGCCATTAAATTAAAACGAATACCTTCGCGAATGAAGAGAATGAGACTGGAATCAAGATACTGAGGTATGAAAAGACTTCTGGGCTCCATAGTAATGAAACCAATATGCAAGGGACTTCTCAAAAATTTTCCTCCAAAACCCCTCACCACCCTCATATTCCCTGCATCAGTCTTCACCACTTGCTTTGAATCCTGCAACAAGAACCAATCCACTCCTTCCGGCCGCCCTGCGCCACCCTCTTCTCCACGGCCTTCTTCCTTCTCCCACCTCCATTCGTCCTCATAGCCACTCACACCCGCCACCAGTGCACAGCACACCACAACCAGTAGCAAAAACAAAGCCCTTCCCATTTTCAATAATCGTTTTAAACTAATTTTTCAGTCAAAAATTGAAAGATTTAGTTAAAAGAGCAGTTCATGTAGAGAAGAGGGAGAGAGAAAAAGTTTACAGGTGGCTTTCACGCAGGATTTCATGGCATTGAGAACATTTACCAGGTAAATAAACAGTTAACATATGGGAGAAATTTTCGATTTCGTATTAAGACAAAGTCTTTGCATATGCATGTTTGTGTTAAACTTGTAAGCTTTCATACTTTTATAAGTTTTATTCTTAGTAAATTTAAAATCTATTATTAGACTTTTCTCTGTTGCTTCATCCGATAGCTTATTTCTACAAAATTAATTGGCCTGAACCGCGATGACTATTGCAAACCTGAAGAAGCTTTCACTGGTATTTCAGACTCTCTGAACTGCACTACAAGATATGATAAATTTGCTTTACAACGAGCTCATTTGAAAGTCCCTTATCTAATCAACTTGAGCGTGAACCAACAGAACCAAAAAACCAAATGCAAATTGTATTGCAATTTCAGGTGTCCATCGACCTTTGTGCCAGACTGGTCTATAAAACCGACCAGTTTCTTCGGTTTGATCAGTACATAGAAACGTAATTGAAAAGCATGAAGCTTCGTGACATGTTTGGTAGTGAAAATTGGATAGTACAAGGAAGAAAAACAGTTAGAGTTTTGTATGTTTCATTATTGAGACAAGATTAGATACTACTGGACAGAGAAAAAAGTTCAAAGCCTGTAGTTGAGTCTAGTACTGCATACTTTCCGATTATGAAATTACATTGATAGTGTGTTTGTGACACATTAAGAATGTATTATTGAATAGTAGATTGATGGAGAATGTGTGGTTAAAAATGAAGGAACAATTATTGATGTGATGAAAAATATTATTTTATTGAAAAATGTGTGGTTGAAAATGAGTAGAAGAATGAGAATGAAAAAAAATAATGTGTACCAAACAGGGCCTGAATATTTGAACACATCATGTTAATCCTGTCATGCGAAAATATGTTTCGAATGTGAACTCGCACAAGTATACGGATCGTTGATAAGTAATAAAGTGGACTTTTTGAGTTTGAGTATCATTTCCACATAAATTTATTCAATTTGATTTCTATTTACTAAGACCTATTAAATCAACTACGATGCAAGTGTGAATTACTAAACTAAATGCAATTGATGGTTGAATACAAATTTTATGTAATTCATGAATGAAGGACGCACTAGGATCCCGAATCTCCCAGTAATAATTATTTCTAACCCTAGTTTTATAATTTGATAACACGATTATGATGAATCAATTATCATATCCTATCCAACAATCGACCTAGCATCTCACACGACCTGACTATATCTCTATGACGGATCCGAATATACAAGAATGTATGCAGTTTTATGAACACTTAAAGATTCACATAAGGCATAGCAGCATATTTCAATCCCTTATCGGACCTTATAATGATTTATATATGTCCAACTTATTTCCCTTCTCTCGAATGCATGAATCAAATCACCAAAGTCACATAATTATCGTGCACTATAATTATGAAGTCAATTAGTTCATATAAATTATTCTATAATTCAAAAAAGGTGTTTTTGCGTCAAATATATAAAACTAAATATCAAAAAACAAATTACAAGGTTCATCATTCACCTAACATTGATTAACCAAGCCCAGTATAGTAGAAAGAAGAAAACATGAAAAAGAATCAAGAAACGACATCACCCAATTAATTATGGATGTGGATCTTCACGCCTTGGGGATGAATTTTGTGTTTTTTTTGCCTCGTTCTATACTCTCCAATCTTGAAAATTTAGTCCTCTAGGTCTCCCTCTAGTTTTTGGACGGTTTTGTAGTTTACATAGATGTCCAGAGATTAGTTTTTGTAAGAGTTGGAACGAAGGAAACCAGAAATTCGTGCCAAGAAAAATACTACGCGGCCGCATAGTTATGTTGAATGCGATCACATAGAACAATAATTTTTCTCCTGAAAATCTCTGAAGCCTTCTATGTGGTCTCATGGATTTTAAACTATGCGACTGCATAGTTATAAATTTTTTTTGTCGGATAGTTTTTAGTATTTTGGTCGTATATTTATCTCTCCATATCTGATTGAGGCGATTGAAAATGCATTGGAAAGTTAACTCAATGGGCTACAAATCTTCCAGAAGTATAAGTTTTCAAATTCGAACGTGTTCTATGCCAGAAATGGGTCTTAAACTGAGACTAAAAATTTGAAGCATAACTTTTTCGACTGGAAGTTGATATGTGATAGTACTTCGACTATTTTTCATCTCTTTGACTTCTTTCCTCATCTAATTGATGCCTAACACTCTCAAATTTTCATCGTGAGATCGACACAACTTTTCAATAATTGCACTTGAGTCCTCAACTTTTATTTTGCTTCATTTTAGCCCTCTATTTGCTTATTTTTTACTAATTTTTACCACGTTCATCATTTTTAGCCTACAAAACACAAATTCCATAGAATTAAGCAATATTCACATTTACTTTCCACAATAATCCATGTTTTGTGACATATATAACTATGTAAAAAAAAAAAAAAACGGCACTTATCAAATTCTCTCATGGGAGATTGTATTAACATATCCCCAATGACTATATCCTTGTTCACAGTCTTAAAAATAACCAAGAAATGAAAAGACAAAACAAAATATTCCTCTTTATTCATAAATTGTGGATGAACTGAATATGGTTTGACTAAAATATGCTACATGAAGCTAAAACTAATAGCCCTAATAATCATTTTGGATTTCATCACCAAATTTCTTCTTCAGTTCAGAATGCTTTGCAAAGTATTCATCAGCGGTCATTGTACTTAATTACCTCTGTCACATTAAGAAAAATTTGAGATATCCCCGATATAGAGGAGATAGTGTGTGTTGGTGAAGATTTATGCATGCAGAAGTATATCTACATGACCTTCAGCTCTTGGACATCAGTATTTCCAATCTTTTCGATTCCTTCAGCGACTTCTGGTCAGCTTATTTTAGCTCTACCAACTACAGCTCGACACAACCAACTTCAATACGAGGGTCTTTAGGGTTAGTGATAGGTGACAGATGGTGGAGGGCGACACTGCCTATACAGTATTGACTCAGAACTATGAAGCACGTGAGTGCCTCTATACACCTTTTCAATTTATTTCCTATGCTCTGAACTAACCCTCTTGTCTCTTTATAGATTCTGGTTCGTGCTTTGAACTTCAAGAGGCTGAGTGGGACATGATTGAGGACATTTATAAGAGTTCATTGAAGCTTCAGAGCTTCGACCACCTAATTGATAGAAATAGATACTTCATAGACTTTGGATTGATGGTCTCAAAGGGTAAGCCACTATGTTGTTTTCACTTCCTCTTGTTGTAGGTTCCTAACCTTCTGCCTTTTGTTGATTGCAGATGAATTCGCAAAGAAAGAGTACCCCACTTCTGATACGACCACTATATTGAAGGCTACCACAACTGTCGCGGGTAGAGCCTTGAAGCCTTTATCCTCTGTGGCTAAACAAGTGAAAAGTAAATTAGAGCGCCTTAGCAAGGATCACGCTGAGAAGGGGACCATTGAGGAGGTTCCCAAGAAGGCCCAGAGGGTTGCTGACAAGGGTAAGGGAAAGGTAGATGAGGGGCCTCGGAAGAAGCTGAAGTGGTGCACAACAGTGGGGCCTTGGTAAAGTTTGGGACAACTGTGTCCCATTTTGGCAAGAATGGTCCTCCACCGCCCAAGCTGATGGAGTCTGCGATGAAGGCGGTGAAGGTTGAAATGGTTCGGAAGGTCAATGAAGAGGCTAAAGAGGAAGGTGCGTCAGCTTCAGAGGCAGTAAAAAAAAAGGCCAAGTGGAGAGGACCCCAGGCAAATTTGGGACTTTTTTTGGCAGGGTGGGACGATAAAATCGCCCCGTCTGTAATTGAGATGCTACCATCGGAAGTTAGGAGTGCTACAGAGAATTTCAATAAATTTTGGACAGAGCGATGGCACATATATGTGTCCACTTGTGACGCAGTGGACCTTATTGCAACATTAGTAAGCCAAAGTACTAGGACTTTGGGGTGGCCCTTGAATGTCAGGAAGTTTTGGCTGACATTCAGCGAATGAATTAAGCTTCGATGGACAAACTGGTCTCTGCTGAGGAGGAAATCAAGAAGATCAGCTCGGAGCCTGAATTGCTGAGGGCTCGACGGGCTGAAGATGAGGTGAAGCTGACTCCTGCCTTAGCCGAAATAGAGGCTCTGAAAAAGGAGGTCTACGAATCCCAATGTGAAGTAGCTTCCTTAACGAAGAAGGTGGAGACCTCCAACAATCATCAGAAGCTTACAACAGAGGCTCTAGAGAAGGCAAACCTCGAGCTTGCTTGTTGTAGGGATGTGAATCAGTTCATGGATAGCCAAATAAAATACTTCTTGGACGAGGCTAAAAGAGCTGAAGTTGAGGCTCAACAGGCTGGGGAGGAAGCGATTAAGCATTATGTTGCCAACTTTCATTTTACTGAAGAGTACCAACGGTTCGCTATCTACTGACGAAGATTTGCTTATGTCAAAGTGGTAGGAAGGGTGGAAGAGCTTTACCTTGAACTCGACGCATCAGAATTGAAGGTGGAGTTTATAGATGAGGTGCCTCAAACCCTCGCTGAGGAAGCTGCTGATCAAGAATAAACTCTTACTGAAGAAGCTCCAGATCAAGCAGCATCTGAAACACCCGCCAACGAGGCATTGGCACCCCAGCCACCTCAACAATAATATCGGTTATATTCATGTTTTGTAATGCCATTGGCACCCAAGTGTAATTACCTTTTCTTTAATGAATGGAGTTCTTTACAAGTCTTATTGCTTGTTATTTCACTATTTTTTCTTCCAAGTATAAAGGTCTCGATAAACAACTAAATGACTCAAATGAACCACTTAAGTAACAACTTAATTGTCAATGACTTCAGCACACTTTCATCTGAAATTACAGTTTGAATAAGTCTACCTCATATTTGGATAA